TTCCCCATCACTGGACCCCCAGGGGCCATCTGGGAGAGAGGAGACAAGCAGGGCTGTCCTAGGAACAGGCCCAGCTGCCAGCCCAGGGGCTGTTAGCACTGATGGGGGAAACAGAGGCACGGGCGTGCACGCATGTGGGCCCAGCTGTTGCTGTCGGCTGGTTCTGCAGAACTTCCAGAACTTAAATGACCCTCCAGGTTGGGGAGGGTGTGCTGGGCAGTCTGTTGTACAGATGGGGAAACTGAGGCTCAGTCAGGAAGAGGCAGAGCAGGGATCCAAACTCGGCTGTCTGGAGTCCATGTGCTGTAGTATTCAGACACACGCCCTTCCCCAGGGTGCGGGCCGCGCCCACATCTGCCCCTGTGACTTCACGGCGTGGCTCGCTCTGCCTGTGGACAATGACAGCCCTACTAGCCACCCCACTCAGCTCTCCCCTGGCGTTCCTGTAGTGCTGGTGGCCCCTCTGGACACTTTCTGAAGATGGGGAAACTGAGTTACGGTGGGACCGGGGACATGTGCAGAAGTGAGGTAGAAAGGAAGAAGGGTGCACATGGAGGGAGGTACCAGAAGTGTGGAGACTGAGGAGCTGCAGGCAGCTCATGCCTCTGTGAACAGAACTATTGAGATAACCCAGCCCAGACGGCCCCTCCGGAAACCCCTCCTCCAGAAAAGACAGGCATGGACATAGCTATGCTGCAGGGCTGACAAGAGGGATGGACCTGTGACCAGGGTGCCAAGATGGGGAGCAGAGAAGGCTCCTGGAGGAGGGGCTTTAGTAGCGAGGGCTTTAAGGATAAGTAGGAGTTTGCCCAATGGGGACAAGCTTCAATTCCAGGCTTCCCCCGGACTAGAGGAGTGAGTGGATTGAGGAAGGGGTCACCTCTTGTCCTTCCTGTCCCTGGGTGCAAGCATGAAGCAGGTGCCTCCCTGAGGCCAGGAGCTCTGCAGGATGGAGGCTGTTAACCCTGGGAACAGGTAGGTCCCCGGGAAACTCTGTGAAAAGGCAGAGCCCGGGGCGTTGCCTGGACACCAGGATAATGAGCAGCATTTCCTGGCACCACCGAGGAAGCTGCCAGAAACACCCACACACCCTTACCCTAATTGTCTGCTCCTTGGGTGATTAGAAGGACCTACCTGGTTGTGTGACTTTGGGCCATTCATCACCCCTCTCTGAGCCCCCGAGTCCCCTCCCTCCCCACCCAGCCCTGGGGATTCGGTGCCTCCAGCTAGAGGTGGAGGTCTAGCTTCGATCCCTCTTGCTGCAGTTCAGACCGGCCTGGCCCCCAAGAAGGGAGGGTGCTCCCTTCCCTCGACAGTGAGGACTCTCCGGGGTCTGGACATTGCCTGAGGGCTGGGAAGGGACCCGGCAGAGTGAGTGGCACCTGAGATGCTTGTGGACCTTGGCCGGGTACCAGTGGTTCTGGCAGGTCAGTTCTCTCCTGGGCCATTCTGCCTCCTCCACTGCCGTGTGCCTCGCTCGCAGCCCACCGTGTGTGCGGTTCACTGTTCCCCTGGGATCTTTGCAGCGAAGGACCCAAGAGCACAGAGGGCGTGTTCATGTGCGTGTCCCTGTGTATGTGAGCATGTAGCCGGAATGCAGAACATGGTTGTGTTCAAGTGTGATCATGTTCGAATGCCATGTAAAATGCCCACGTGTGAACGTGCATGAGTGTGAAACATGCTAGAATGTGTGTATGGTAGTGTGCAAACGTCATAATGCACGAGTCTAAAAATGCCCAGGTGTGTGTGTGAAACATTAGTGTGAGTGTGAAACATTAGTGTGTGAGTGTGGTAATGCTTAAGTGTACGTGTGTGATCATGTTCAAATATGTGAGTGTGAAAACGTGTGTGACTGTTCGAAGATTAAGGGTAAACACATCCAAGAATGTGATAATGTTTGAGTAGGAATATGAACATACCCTAGTGTGTGAGGGTGGTAGTGTTTGGGTGTAAGTGTGAGAACTCTTAAATGTGTGTGCGACAGTGCTCAAGTGTGTGAGTGTGAGGGTTTCAATGTGTGAAAATGTCCAAATGCACGGTTGTATGAAAACAGAGTGTGTAGATGGGATAGTGTTTGAGTGTGTGAAAACATCCATGTGTGAGTGGGATACAGTGTGTGCAAGAGTAAGAATGCTGAGTGTGTGAGGGCACCCACCTCCCCAGATCTCCAGGCCTCCATTACACAAGCACACCTGGCCCCTCCCCTGTGCCCTCCACCACACCCACACCACATACAAGCACACCCCCTCCCTGTTAGGTCCCTGCCAGAGACAAACCAGTTGGGTGACCCCCTTACAGAAAGATCCATTGTTAACTGATGCTTATCAGCTGGCTTGCTGGACCCCCTCCATTGTCAACCCCCCCTGCTTTCCTGTCCCCCATCAGAGCTCTGGTGGGGTCTAGTGTTTCAAGGCCACGAGGAGGGGGGTAGGGGGGAGGGGAACTCCTGTGGCCAGGCCATCTCTTGGCTGGTGTTTCATCCATTCTTCCCGCCCCCACCTAAGCCCTCAGCAGAGACAGTGGACCACAGCCTGGTGCCGTGCCCCGCCTGTTCCAGCCTAACAGGGAAACGGAGGCACACTGTTCCAAGACCTGGGTGTGAGAGCAAGCAGGGAGTTGGGGTCAAGAGAAAGCCATGCCCATTGGAGGACTTTTTTTTTTAACCCTCTCCCAAGGATATATTTTTTTCCCATTGATTTTTAGAGAGTGGAAGAGAGAGGGAAAAACAGAGAGAAACATTGATGTGAGAGAAACACATCGATTGGTTGCCTCTTGCATGTGTCCGTCCAGGGCCAGAGCCGGGGAAGAGCCTACAACCATGGTACATGCCCTTGGTCGGAATCCAACCCGACACCCTTCAGTCCACAGGCCAATGCTCTATCCACCCGGAGGCCTTCTGCCTGGGTGGGCTTCCCTGCTGTCTCCCCCTACCAACTCTGTGACCTTGGGTACGTCATGTGACTACTCTAGGCCTCAGCTTTCCCATCTGTGAAATGGGGATAAAGACTCTGTGAGGTTGAAGTGACTTAATATGCACTGATTGTAGGACAGGATCTGGCATAAACAGGGGTGGTTTGGGAACCTGACAAATGGGCCGACCTCTGTTTGCTGCACAACCTTGAGAATGAAATATTTCTCTGCAGCCCACAGATTCCCGTGGGATATACCCTGCCACCACCAACCCGCCTGCCCCTCCTGCCCCCTGCACCCGCCGCCATTCTGCGACAGCCACAGGGGGCCCTCTCCTGTTCCCTCAATGAGCCAGGCCTGGCCCTGCCCCAGGGCCTTTGCAGGTGGTGTGCCCTCTGGTATCCAGGTTTGTTATATGCCCCCATGTCTAGGAGCTCATTCTCTACCACCACCATCAACAGTAATAAAAATTGTGATATAAAATAGTGGCAAGCCCTTGGGGTGACTCCACGACATTTGCTCCCAAGCCCAGCTCAGCCCATGTCATGTGTGTTGTGTCTGCCTTTGAATTTCAGGTCCTTTTCTAGCCAAATGCCTTTGAACAAGCCCCCATTTGGTGCTTCAGTCTCCTCAGCTGCAAAATGGAGATAACAGTGCCTCTCTCGTGGGCTCAGCGCCCAGTTTGGAATAGAGCAGGAGCTCAGTAAATGCCCACCGGTACTGTCCAGTGGGTGTAGGTCCTGTGCCTTTGCATCCATGCGAAGGGGGAGAGCTCTGCTCTGCCTAACCCAGTGGTTCTCAACCTTCCTAATGCCGCGACCCTTTAATACAGTCCCTCATGTTGTGGTGACCCCCCAACCATAAAATTATTTTCATTGCTACTTCATAACTGTAATTTTGCTATGAGTCAGGATGCACTTTCATTGTTACAAATTGAACATAATTAAAGCATAGTGATTAATCACAAAAACAATATGTAATTATATATGTGTTTTCCGATGGTCTTAGGCGACCCCTGTGAAAGGGTCGTTTGACCCCCAAAGGGGTCGCGACCCACAGGTTGAGAACCGCTGGCCTAACTCAAGCATGGCCAGGCCTACGCAAACCACATGCAAATGAAATACAAACAATACACAAATGAAATGCATATTGCCTGCAAATTGCTCTCACCTGGGTGAGCAGCCTGCGCTCTGAGGTGTGCGCTTGGGGGCGCCCGGCACCCCACGGCCGAACCCAGGCGCTGACCCGCGTCCAGCCCGGCTTTCAGTGCTCTGTGTAAATGTTTACACCGGGCCTGTTGCCAGACCCTGTGCGGGGCCGGCACAGGCAGCCGGGTGGGGGAATGTAAACGCAGGCTTGGGGCCACCAGGCAGCAGGGAGCTGTTCAGACATGGTTGAGGGGGATAGGGGTGTAAGAGGGTTATTAAACGCCTACTGTATGCACTAAGCCCGAAGTTCCCGGTAGTCACAGCACCGAGTAATGGGTGTCTAATGGGGGATGCTTAGGGCTTAGGGCTTGGGGAACAGTCAGGGAAGGCTTCCTGGAGGAGGCACCGGTCCAAGCTGAGACTGAAAGGAATGAGAGGGCAGGGGAGAGAAAGTATTCTGGGTGGAAGGACTGGCTTGTGCAATAGCCTGGAAGTGGGTGGAGAACAGCTTTGGTTCATTGCAGCCCCTTTCTGGGCATCAGTTTATCTCTCTGGAGGGTAAACCCAGGCTCTGAAAGGACAGCAAGTCACTCTGAAGAACATCATATGTAGGAACCAAGTGTCAACCCCACGGTTTCTGCCCCAGACTGTATTCTAATGCCGGTCTCCTGGCCACCTTTGTCCCACAATGCCCCCTGTTGGGAATGCTTCATCTTTCAGTCTTTCCCTCAACCAGGGGTGGGCAAACTTTTTGACTCGAGGGCCACAGTGGGTTCTTAAACTGGACCGGAGGGCCGGAACAAAAGCATGGATGGAGTGTTTGTGTGAACTAATATAAATTCAAAGTAAACATCATTACATAAAAGGGTACCGTCTTTTTTTTTTTTTTTTTAGTTTTATTCATTTCAAACGGGCTGGATCCGGCCTGCGGGCCGTAGTTTGCCACGACTGCCCTAAACACTGGGCTCCAGCTACCCCAACCTCTTGGCTGGATTGGCCCAGCTTGGTTCGGCCTCAGTTCCTTTGCACTGGCCATTCCTCCTGTCTGAGATGCCACTCCCTTCTGCCTGGCCAACTCCTACTTTTGTTCAAATCTCTACTTTCCTCAACCCTCCAGAAAGCACTCTGGCACCCCCAGATGGGGTGGTCCCCTGACACCCCTGGCACAGCGCCCACACCCTCCTTAGCAGCAGTTTTTCACAACAACATTCTGTGGTTCCTTGCTGAATCCTGTCTGTTATCATTCAGCATTAAGCAGTAGTGGTTCAAAATCACGGGCCCATTGTGTCCCCAGTGCCTGGCCCAGTGCGCTGTACCTGTGTGTTGCCTGGCAGACTGAGGCGTTCGGCTGACCCTCCCGTGCCCGCAGGCCGAGGATGCAGCGCTGGAAGGCAGCAGCCTTGGCCTCGGTGCTCTGCAGCTCTGTGCTCTCCATCTGGATGTGTCGGGACGGCCTGCTCCTCAGCCACCGCCTTGGACCCGCGCTGGCCCCGCTGCGCCGGCCACCTCGAACCCTGGACGCCCGGATCGCCCGCCTGGCCCAGTGTAAGCCCTTCCCCCGACACAGGGACTGCCATGCTGGTGGAATGTCAGGCAGTGGAACCAGGCCACAGAAGCTTTTTTAAAGATGGGGTGGAGGGAGGATGCAAATCCCGCAATGGCAGGGTGGGGGGGGCGTGGCTCCTGGGAACTGGGGTCTCTCGGCTTAGCTGTCACAAGGAATTACACTCAGTCTCTCAGGGGCCAGATGGAGATTAGACCTAGGAACTCTGGCAGGGGGGCCCCACTCGCCGCACAGCGGGGGCGCAGGAGGGGGAGGCTGGACCCAAGGCCCCAGTGACCTGCACGTGTTGATAGGGAACAAGAACAGGGGAGACAGAGAGAGACCTAGACATGGGGAAGAGACAGATATAGAGATGCACAGAGACAGAAAAAGTGGGAGAGACGTGGAAAAGGAGTGCAGTCGAGAAGTGCAACTCCCATCTGGGGAGAACGGCCCCCTGGCCCAACTCCTCACTTGACCCTCGTGCCTGCCTCCTGCAAGTTCTGCATGGGCCCAACCTTGTGTGTGCACACCTGGCCGCGCAGTGTGGTGTAGGCACAGGCCCGGTGCACGCGTGGCGCCAGCGGGTGGGGTGGCGGGTGGAGGCTGCATGCACACCCGCCTTGCCAGGCCGCACAGTCCTTCTTTCTTGTCCTCACAATAGACAAGGGCGGCCTCCGGCACAGACTTCACTTCCTCCCTACACT